AAAGCGCGAGAGAGCGGTCGCTCAAGGCGGGAGAGGGAAGCGCGCACGCAGCCCACGCGGTAGTTAGTTAAAGGTACAGCGTCTTTTTAAAAAGACCCCGGCCGTGAGCCGTGTCTTTGGGAAAGCGAAGATTTTGTCGCTCCGAAGCTCAGCCGATAACTTTTCTTTCGGGGCTTTTATTTGTAATGAGCATCCGCATCTCAAAAGTTAGCCAGAAACATCCTACCGCTACAGGAATGTTAAATTGATTACGTCAAACACCGTCTCTGAGGGGAGGAATAACGGCTCCCGGTCTCTTCCAAAGGACCCAGTGGAAACGCCTATTTATTGGGAAGAAGACAGCTTGTTTTTTTTTTTATAATGCTAGGGTTTATAGCTGCCTTGGCAGAGGTCCCGCTTTTCCCTTCAGAGTGCTACCAAACAAAATAACAGCAAAGTCACCAGCCTGACACTCTCCAGACGGGTTGGCAGAAGACGATGGTGATTATAAGGGAGCTGGGAAAGCCTGTTCGATAGAAACATCACAGACGATAAAATACAGTGTCCATTCCAGCAGGGGAAAAGTAATTCTGTTGAAACAGGTTTTGAGTGGCCAGCGTTTGCATAAATAAGAGGACGAAAAGGGGATTGCTGTATTCTTTTTCCTATCACCAATTATACCATAAATGAAGCTGAAGCTGTCACTTTAGAGTTCTGACGTGGTATCGTTATGCTATTTTTGTTGAGGAAAACAATGGCTTTCTTTCCCATATAATGCCTAAGGCACAATCCTGCGTGCTTTAACTCTGAGGTAAACCGTCTCAGGAGAGTCAGTTTGGTGCAGTAATTAAGATATCATGCTAGAAACCTCGAGGAGGCCGAGTTTTAGTCCTGCCTTAGGCACAAAGCAGCTGGGTCTCCTTGGGCTGGTCATTCTTTCTCAGCCTTAGGAAGAAGGCAATGGCAAACCACTTCTGAGGTATCGTATTTTTCCCTCAGAAAGAAAGAAATATCTTGCTCTTCCCTGCTGTAGAATGGAAAGTTGGACAATGATAAACATGATTAGAACTCCCAGTTTAAACAGCAGTCGGTGCAGCATTTTTGTGTATGCTGTGGAAAAAAGGAGAAAACCAATCTATTATGCCTCCATGGGTTCCTCTTTATAAACATATAATTTGCCTATAGTAAAAACAAAAACCCTTTAACAATGCAAAAGTATCCCTAGTATTTAATTTGTTCAATTCCTAGTTTTACCAGCCTACAAACCAGAGTTTAGAAAGTACATACTTTTAAAAGTAAAATATCCTCTGAATTGTTTTTGCTCACCTGTATGATCCACATGCATTGTTGTTTTGTATTCATGAAACAGGGCAATCATGTATCCTTTCCTAGCTGCTTGAGATGTGCTTGCTGGCTTGCTTCTTTGTAAGGCAAGCAGCTCTGTGACATAGTCAGAAATGAACATTACTATGGCTGCTGATGTCACAAAGCAGGTGCTGGAGAATAAAAGTTATAATCATATCCATATATGCTGTGAGCAGAAGATTTAGGATTTTTATTTATGAGTTTTATGTAGACATATATAAGCCATCAAGCCTAAATTGGATGCAATAAGTAGTACTAATTTCATATTACCTAAAAGTATTGGTCAATTTAAAGCAGTCTATAATGTTGCTTGGCCAGGCCAATTCATAGGTGGTATTCAACAGGTTCTGACCAGTTCTGGAGAATCAGTAGCATAAATTTTGAGTAGTTCAGAGGACTGGCAAATACCACCTCTGACTGGCCCCACCTCCATCTATTCTCTGCCTCCCGAGTCCCAGCTGATCAGCTGGGTCTTTTGTTGCCCTGCACAGGAGAACGAAGCTGGAAAGCAGGTTAGTGGGGTGGGGACAGAATTGGATTTTGCAGTAACCTCCTGGAGTGGGGTGGGAATGGAGATTTTACAGATCATTCCCTGCCACGCCCACCAAGCCACGCCCACAGAACGGCTAGTAAAAAAATGGAATCCCACCACTGGGCCAATTCACACAGAAAGAAGAATCAGTAATATGCTTAAGAGACAGTATGGCTGAAGGTTCCTCCTGACATAGATTATTATACAGGGAGAATTCAGCAGACAACCTCTTATAGGTATTTTGACATTAAAAAGTCCAACTAAGGTTTGCCATTAGATATCTAGACTGCTAAACTGATATCCAATTTGCAACTCTATTTGAAAGAGCCAGAAGCCCAGGAATACGTTTCTTGCACTTTTTTGGATTTAGGAACCTGAAACACAGGCGACATATGCATCACATGCATTGAATGACCAACTAGCTACTGCAGATTAGTTGGTTCTGCAAATCTATCCAATATTTAGGCTCAAAATATTGTGTAAGCCCAGCCATGAAAAGAAGACACAATTTCAAAAATGGTCCAGTTGAATGCAGTGTATGTCAGAGTTATCACTGAGAACCAAGCTATTGTCATTTCAAAACAGATCTGATCATGGTCTGGAACACCCTCTGTCTCACGTTGCTGTCATGTGA